CATCTATTTGCTCGTAAAGTGTTTAAGGGCTAAAATGCTCTCGTCCCTACAGATTTGCTAAAATCACCCTGCTTCTAATAAATAAACAAAAACAAACCCCAGCGCCCTATCGTCCTGTGAGAGAACGCGGTGCCTGAATCTCACTGCCTCAGAGCAGCCCGAGGGCCCTGCTCAGAGCGGGCTGGGGGCACAAGGCCAGCAAGTCCCGGGTTAGAGCTAGGTGCCCGGTGAGAACATACCATAGCACGTGGGGGGGGGGGGGGGGGAGGGCAAAATATGGTCCCAGGGAGACTTAGGTTCTGCTCCTCCTAATGGGCTTAAAGGTATTTGTCACTGAACTTGACCTCCTGGGGCTTAAAAGGGACCACATCTTTGCCATCATTCGCAATAGGCTATAGGAAGATGGGGAAAATGGAGCTATCCCCGCCCCGAATGGCACGGGCAGGGGCAGGGGCAGGAGCAGGCACAGGGACCCAGCCGTGTGGGCATGGGTGGGTCAGCATGTATGTCGGGTCCGGGACCTGCACCCCTTCCCTCCTGTTCAGGATGGGGAGCAGCCCGCCCTCCCTCTGCCCACCCCCGCTCTCACCTGGGCACGGACCCTCCCCCCGGGGCCCGGAGCTGGGCCCCCGGTCCCCAAGCACCTGGCCCTCGGTGCTGAGTACTGAGATGGTCGGGACCTTCCCAATCCACCAGAGTGTTCAAATGCAAACAAAACAGGAGACAAATGAAAGTTCCAGAAAGAGAGAGAGAGAGACGGTGCTGATGGGAGCGGTGGATGAGGGACGGGAGGAGAGAGAGCAAGGAGAGAACAAATACGTCTGACTTACGTGAGGACATAATTGACACTCACGATGCAGTGGGGCCGGGAGGAGCGGCTGTTGTGCACGACGGTGGCGTAGCTCTGCACCCACACCCAGCCGCCCCGCTTGGACAGCAGCCGGTAGTACTTGGTGGTCACCTGGCCCTTCACCAGCACTGCAACAGAGGCGACAGGGCCCCGAGGGGCCGTGAGCAGCCCTGCCTGTGGGGACGCTGACCCCGGGTGACCCACAGCCCTGGCCCTGAACCTGCCTGGGGTCAAGGAGCCCTCGGGGAACCTGACAAAGAGGGCGGCTCTCCCTGCTGGAGGGTGCAAGCTTGTGTACACACACCCTACACCCTCTCTCTCTCACACACTCACACACGCTCCCTCTCTCTCACACATACACACACACTCACGCACTCCCTCTCCTCTTCTCTCTCCCCTCCTCTCCTCTCCCCTCCCCTCCTCTCTCGTCTCTCTCTCTCTCTCTCTCTCTCTCTCTTTCTCTCTCTCGATTTTTGCCAAGGATTCCAAGGGATGGGAGGAGCGCTCTCTCCTCTCCCTTGTTGAGAACTCGAATTTAAAGCCACTGCGTTCACTGGGAATCAGTGAGCCCCCGTCAGCATTGCACCCGGCAGAGTAACAACACTGGGTCTGCCTTTCACATTTCCAAAGGCCACAATTACTAGTATGTTATAACCCCAACCCCGTAACAGGTGGGGATGGGGCGGAGGGGGAGTGATGTAGTTATTTAAACAAGATAGTAAGTTACGTGATTCAACTAAGTGTCCACCTGCTGTCCACTGCTGCGCCCAGACCCCTGTGCATTCAGTGACAGTTTCTCGGTCGCCGTATATGCTTCCTTCCCATCAACCCGAGCTTTCCCGGGAGTTAGTCCCCGTGTTGCTCACGTAGGAAGACCTCTGCTTGAGTAGCAGTGCCTGAGCGCCGGGCGTGTGGCCGCCTCTGTGCACAGAGCCAACGCCAGGCTGCTGGGCACTGGCTCCCGGAGCCTGGGCACGCACACACCGCCGCCTCCTCCGGGGTCGCAGCGGGCAGGTGCGGGGGGCTGGGGGGGTGGGGGAGGGGAGACTCCGGAAGGCGGTGGAAAGGAGAAAGGCTGGCTTATCTCCCCAGGGGAGGCCAGCGCAGTCTAGAAAGGCACCCCCGGAGGCCGGGTCACTTGTGGCCGCAGACATTCCTGCTCCTCCAGGCGCTGGCCTGGGCTGTAACTAGCAGACAGCGGGGCAGGGGGCGGGGAGATGGCCAAGTCTCTGACTGCAGTAGCTGGTGCTGGAGGACCCCCCACCCCTATACTCACAGACACAGAAATTCAACCCCCGGTACCGCCAGGCAGAGCCCCACCCTCTCCACCCGGCCCCCCGTGGCATCTGTGGCTTCTTTGGCGCTGGGGGACTCGACGGCCATTCTCACACCTGCAGTGAGATGTTCTGGGGCAGAAAACCTGCTGCCCCATGACAGTCAGGGCGTGACCAGCCTCAGCGGAGGGAGAGCTCAGCCCCTTGTCTTTCCTTCATGTCCCCTTCCCTACACCTTCCTGTGATGTCACACCTTCCCGTGATGTCACATCTTCCCTGTGATGTCACACCTTCCCATTAGCCAGCAGGTCGTGGCTGCAAACACTCCGTCATGGCTTTGGAGACACCGAGACCCTCGCAGTAACATGCGCGAAGGACACGAACAAACAGCCACCAAAGACCACATACAACTGGCAACCACATTTCCGCTGGTTTAACTCGTGGCTGGATGCCATCCATCTAACCCACAGACATGTAAAGAGGAACCAATAGGGCATGATTCCAGCGGTGGAAATTCCGGAACAGGGACCCCATGGGGGCGGAAAGCAGGTGAGCGGGGGCCGGGCTGGAGGACGAGGGGGCCGGGGTGAGGGGAGAACATGTCCTGGAATCAGACACAGGCGGCAGCGGTGCGCCCTGAAAATACCCTGCAAACCACCGGCAGGCGTGAACACGTGACTTTCACATCACGGGAGACGGCGGGCGATGCTGCTGATCCACGGGGAGGGCACCGTCACAGGACGGAAGCGGGAACTGGGCACCGTCACAGGACGGAAGCAGCGTTTCCCAGCTGCTTCTGGGAAACGGATGCCCCGACTTCACATCTGAGCACCGACCCCACGGGAATCGTGAATTGTGCACAAGGACTGGACCCCAATGAGTCCCCTGCAGCCCTGCTTGTCATTCGGGGCCACGGCTGGAGGAGGGCAAAGCCATGACCGAGTGTTCGCAGCCACGAGCTGCTGCTGGCTAATGGGAAGGTGTGACATCAAGGGGACGGTGTGACATCATGGGAAGGTGTGACATCACAGGAAGGTGTAGGGAAAGGGACATGAAGGAAAAACAAGGGGCTGAGCTGCACTGAGTCAGGTCCTGTGCTGTGGGACTGTGCCACACGCCCCATCTGACTGTGACTTTGGCCAGGCGCTCGACTCCCATTTCTCCGAGTGGCCACTGTGGGAGGAGGGCCATCGGCTTCCAGAAGGTTCTCTGTAGCTACATATGGGGCTGGGGTGGGCCAATCAGGGGAGACTTAATTAACCAATTTGCTTATGGCCCCAAGAGATGTGACTGAGGTCCCCCCCGGTAGGTTTCCCCAGAGGCCATGCCTTCTCCCCGAGGAACGCGCATCACTTCCGCTGGGAAACCCCTGGGAGTATGACCGGACACTTCATTCTTCCTGGTTTCCAGGCAACGTTCGTAAGACCCGTCCATCACCATCTTAAAGCCGGACACACGGAAGCCAGGTCATTCCGAGTTTAGATCAGGACCCACGTGGTGGACAGGGCACGGATTTCTCTCCCGCCTCCCGCCTCTGCTCTGAGGCGGCCAAACACAGACACGGGGTACTTTCCTTCTGCTTTTCGCTGACCCATGGCGACCGTCGGCACAGCAACCCAAGTGGAAATCCTAGACGCCTAGTCACGACACTCCTCAGCCTGTTCTCGCAGCCCTGCGGCCTGTGGTCTGAGAGAGCTGCCCGAAAGGATCCCGGGCTAGAATGATCTAGAATAAGTCCCTGCTGTGGCTGTGATGGACGGAAGGGGGGGGGCGGGGGGGGCGCCCCCACCGTAAGCTCCTGACCGTGCGCCTTGGAGCCATATCCCCGACCTCGCAGGCCGAGGCGGCTCTGAAATCGGGGCCCACGCCCAGGTGACAGCCAGCGGCCGTGCTTTTCTGAGGTGACTTTGGGATGGAAACTCTGGTTCCATAAATGTGCTTCCCCCCAAATCGGGGGCCTTCCTGGTTCCCCCGGAATCCTCCCTGGGAGGAGAGACTGTGGCCTGAAGCATAATTTCTACGTCTGTCTTGAACTTTAGGAGCTGAGCAGGACACCATAAATGCCTGCCATGGTAGACGAGTGTCCCCCCAAGAGAGATCCTCTACATCCTAAACCCCAGAACCCGTGAGTGACCATATCGGGGAAAAGGGTCTTTGCAGTGTGACGAAGGCTCTCACAATGAGATCCTCCTGGGTCAGGGTCGGCCCCAAATCCAACCAGAGGAGACACCGACACGCAGAGGGAGACAGGCAGAGCTGGGGGTGCGTGGCCACAAGCCAAGACATGCCGGCCACCACCAGCAGGTGGAGGAGACGAGGGAAGATTCACCCTGAAGCCCCCAGAGGGAGCACAGCGGCCAACACCTCGGACTCCAGCCTCCAGGCCGGGAGCCAGATTTCTGTTGTTTCGGCCCCAAGGTGCACGGCATTTGGTGACAGGGCCCCCGGACGGTAAAGCACCTGCCGTGGGACAATCGGCGAGTGACTCCCTGCCTGCCCTCTCCTGCTCCTGCCTCCGGGCTGGGGGCCGAGAGGGGGGGTCTCAGAGAGTGAGCCGTTGGGAGGCCGGAGACCAGCCTTGTGCTCCTGGGGGGAGCGGGTCCGGGATGCGGCGTGGCCCCCACACAGCCCCCCGCCCTGCCTGCTGCCGCGCTGCTTGTTGGTGAGACACAGGAAGCCCTGGGAAGAGAAGCAATTGGGGCGACATTTCCACAGGCCACACGCTGGGCCGTCTGCAGAGCGACCTGACCCTGACCCTGACCCCGACCCTGGACGATGGGCTGAACCGGCCCGTCGCCTGCCCTTTGGCGCCGAGCAGAAGGGTCAGTCTGTGATGATAAATGTCCAAACCTGCTCCCGGCGACCGGGGGCCATGGGACGGCTTTGAGGATCACTCCCCGCTTCCTGCTCTCAGCCCCTCCCCCCCAGTGCGGATTCCCCACCCCTGCGGCCCCAAGACAAGCGGCTGCCACCTCCCGACTCTGCTCCCCGACTCTGCTCGGAGGGAGCCTCTGGGGAGCTCTTCGGCGAGTTCACCGTCCATGTCCAGCCCGAGGCCGCGAGGCCAGCGTGGAGCCAGCGTGGAGCCAGCGTCCCAGTGCTGTCGGTCACACTCCTCCCAGCGATGGGAAACGCCCTCTTTCCCCTTCATCTTCCGTTTGGAGACCTTTGTCCCCGAGCGGTTGCAAACAGAAGCCCATTTGCCGTCTGCACCCGCCGGGGCCTGGCTCTGTGTCTCCTCGGCGGTTTCCGGCCGCGGGAAAGGTCGGAGTGGTAGCACGGTCGCCATCACTGTCCGTGTCGCGGGTTCTTGCTTCCTCTGATTTACTGATTCTCGCCCGTTTGGCCCAGAAAGCCACGCTCCCTCTGGGCTCACACACTCGGGCTGCTCTGTGCTCCCCGGAGGCCCGGGCTCGCCTCCCCTTCCAGTCCCTTCAGATCAGCCCGTCCGGAGACTCCAAGGCCGAGGGAGGCGAGCGAATGTGTCCAGGGGGCCCCAGAGAAAAGCCCTTGTTGGGGGGAAGCCAGGTGAGCTGGGGAAGCTGGGCTCCTGGGGACACAGACGGCCGGGCTCTGGGTGTGACCACCGTGGGCTGCGACGGGCTGAAGGCTGAGGGTCACGCCGTCCAGCTCCGGTCCCACCCGGCGCGGCTGCGGCCTCGCGGCCTCACTCTACCTGGGGGCTCGCCTGGCTCCCCTGGGAATGGACAGAGCCCAGCTCCCCACGGGCCCAGGTCACGTCCGGGAACAGGAGCCCGCTGGCAGCACGGAGGTCTCACTACCTTTCCAAACACTCACTGTATCGACTTCCCCTGGGAACGCCTCTCCCGTTGGCCGGGCGGGGGGAGGGTAGAAAACGGGGATGGAAGCCAGTGTTGCTCAGTGGTTGAGTGCTGACCCATGAACCAGGAGGTCAGGGTTGAACTCCACAAGTTTCCTTCTCCGCACCGCAGCCCCGCGTAGAACAACGCGTCCATGTGAGTCAGGGGCTTGCTGTCCACTCGCCCGCAGGACACAGCGGCTCCCCAACACGCGCCTGCCTCGGCCGAGGGGGCTCGGAGCCCCCGGGGCTGGGTCTCCCCCTCTCCTCCCACAGTGGTGGGGACTGTCCCCTGGGAGGGGGGGGGTGGAGTCTCTCGGGCACAGAGACCTTCGCGCCCTTGCGGAATTAAGGGGCAGGAAGAAGCGTCCACGCCTGCGCAGGGGTGTCCCCGTAACGGGTCTCGGCCTGCACTGACTCAGGACAACGCCCCAGGACCTGGCAGCTCAGCAGTCCCCGTCCACACCCCACGGCCAGCCAGACGCGTGGCTGCAGGTGGAGCAGCCCTGGGCCTGCCGTCCGCCTGCCCAGCCACTGGTCTCTGAGCCTCTTAGTCAGCACAGAGCAGAGCCAGGCGGGGACGTGCGCCCGGGCTCCGTGCAGAGGATCTCCAGCCCTCGCACCCCGTGAACAGGCACCCCCAGGCCGGCCACGGCACCGTGGGCTGCACGGCGAGGATGAGGCATCCACTCCATCCCAGAGATTCGCTGCCTAAACTTGGATCCCAGAAGAGTCACTTCTTTAGGCATTTCAGTGACTAGAGCGGC